AAATTTCTCTTATCTTTTTGTTTTTTTCTTTCATTTTTTATTTAAATTAGAAATAAGATTTTTTTTACATGCCAATCCCAGTTTCCTCTCCCTTCTGTCCTCCCCTGACACACCTACAACTAATACCCTACCTATCACATATCCTTTCTGCTCCCCAGGGAGGACGAGGTCTTCCATAGGGGGTCTTCAGAGTCTGTCATATCATTTGGGATAGGGCCTAGGCCCACCCCCATGTGTCTTGACTCAGGGAGTATCCCTCTATGTGGAATGGGTTCCCAATGTGGGAACCTATGTTATGGATAAGTACTGATCAACCACAAGAGGCCCCATGGATTTCCGAGGTCTCCTCACTGACACCCACGTTCATGGGGTCTGTATCAGTCCCATGCTGGTTTCCCAGCTATCAGTCCCGGGACCAAGAGCTCCCCATTGTACAGGTCAGCTGTTTCTGTGGGTTTCACTTACCAAAATTAAATCAAGAACAGATAAGCAACTTAAATAGACCTATAACCCCTAGTGAAATAGAAGCAGTCATCAAAAGTCTCCGAACCAAAAAAAAGCTCAGGGACAGATGGCTTCAGTGCAGAATTCTACCAGAAATTCGAGGAACAGCTAATTCCAATTCTCAAAGTATTCCACACAATAGAAACTTCAATAACCAATATGGTGGATTACATTGATGGATTTTCTTATGTTGAACCATCCTTGCATCCCTGGGCTGAAGCCTACTTGATCATGGTGAATGATTTCTCAGATGTGTTCTTGGATTTGATTTGCCAGTATTTTATTGAGTATTTTTGCATCAATGTTCATGAGGGATATTGGTCTATAGTTCTCTTTCTTAGTTGTGTCTTTGTGTGGCTCGGGTGCCAGGGTTATTGAAGCCTCATAAAAAGAGCTTGGCAATGCCCCTTCTGCTTCTATTGTGTGGAATACTTTGAGGAGAATTGGGCTAAGTAAGTTGCTTATCTGTTCTTGATTTAATTTTGGTAAGTGAAATCTATCCAGAAAATTGTGCATTTCCTTTAGAGTTTCAAATTTTGACGAAGACAGGTTTTCAAAATATGACTTGATGATTCTCTGGATTTCCTCTGTGTCTGTTGTTATGCCCCCCTTTTCATTCCTGATTTTATTAATTTGCATGTTCATTCTCTGCTGTTTGGTAAGTTTGGATAAAACTTTGCCTATCCTGTGGATTTTCTCGAAGAACCAACTCTTCATTATATTGATTCTTTATTCTCCTAGTTTCCTCTTTATTGATATAAGCCTTCAATTTAATTATTTCCTGACATATACTCTTCCGAGTGTGTTGGCTTCTTTGTGTTCTAGAGCTTTCAGTTGTGCTGTTAATTCTCTAGTGTGATATTTCTCCAGTTTCTTCATGTGGGCACTTAGTGCTATGAACTTTCCTTTTAGCACTGCATTCAAAGTGTCCCATAATTTTGGGTATGTTATGTCCACATTCTCATTGAATTCTAGGAAATCTTTAATTTCTTTTTTTAATTTCTTCCTTGACCCAGGAATGGCACAATTGGGCATTACTCAAGTTCCAAGAGTTTGTAGGGTTTCTGCAATTTGTGTTGTTTTTGAATTCTAATTTTAAGGCATGGTGGTCTGAGAAGATACAGGGAGTTATTTTAATTTTTTTGTACCTGTTGAGGTTTGCTATGTTGCCAAGTATGTGGTTATTTTTAGAGAAGGTTCCATGTGGCTCTGAGAAAAAGGTATATTCTTTTGTACTTGGATGGAATGTTCTATAGATGTCTGTTAAGCCCAATTGGACCATAACTTCTATTAGCTCCTTTGCTTCTTTGTTAGGTTTCTGTCTGGCGTTCCTGTCTAGTGGTGATAGTGGGGTGTTGAAGTCTCCCCACTATAATTGTGTGCAGTTATATGCGTGATTTGCATTTTAGTAATGTTTCTTTTATGAATGTGGATGCCTTTGTATTTGGGGCTTAGATGTTCAAAATTGAGACTTCATCCTGATGAATTTCTCCTGTGATGAGCATAAGTGACCACCTTCATCTCTTTTGATTGATTTTAGATTAAATTCTAATTTTTTGGATATTAGGATTGCTACCCCTGAAACAATCTTGGGTCCATTTGATTAGAAAATCTTTTCCTAACCCTTAACTCTTAGGTACTGTCTGTTGTTGAAGTTGAGGTATGTTTCTTGTATGCAGGAGAAGGATGGATTCTGTCTTCTTTTCCATTCTGCTAGCCTGTGTCTTTTTATAGGCAAGTTAAGACCACTAACACTGAGGAATATTAATGACCATTGATTGTTCATTCTTGTTTGTTTTGGATTTGGTGGTGGTGGAAGTGTGTGTAGACTTCCACTGCATTTTTCTTTTGGCTGTTGGTAAAGTGGGATTATTTATTGCCTATATTTTTCTGGTTGTAGTTAACTTCCTTGGGTTGCAGTTTTCCTTCCAGAACTTTCTGTAGGGCTGGATTCCTGCATATGTATTGTTTGAATATAGTTTTGTCATGGAATATCTTGTTTTCTCCATCTTTATTGATTGAAAACTGTCCTGGGTATAGTAGTCTGTGCTGGCACCTGTGGTCTCTTAGAGTTGCTAGAATATCAGGGGCTGGATAGATGGCTCAGCATCTGGAAGAAATGACTGTTCTTCCAGAGGTCCTGAGTTCAATTCCCAGCAACCACTTGTGGCTCACAACCACCTTAAATCACCTTAAATGAGATCGGGTGCCCTCTGCTGGCATGCAGGCAGAAGACTATGCAAAATAAATAAATAAAATCTTAAAAAAAAAAAAAAAAGCCCAAGAGTTGGTAGAATATCTATCCAGGACCTTCTGGCTTTCAGAGTCTCCATGGAGAAGTCCGGTGTAATTCTGATATGTTTGCCTTTATACATTACTTGGCCTTTTTCCTTTGCTGCTCTTAATATTCTTTCTTTATTCTGTAGGTTTGGTGTTTTAATTATTATGTGACAAGGGGACTTTCTTTTGTGGTCCACTCTATTTGGTCTTCTGTAGGCTTCTTGTACTTTCATTGACATGCCTTTCTTTAGGTTGGGAAAGTTTTCTTCTATGATTTTGTTGAATATGTTTTCTGCACCTTTGAGTTGGGTTTCTTCACCTTATTTTATACCTACTATTCTTAGGTTTGGTCTTTTCACGGTATCACATATTTCCTGGATATTTTGTGTTAGGGATTTACTGAACTTAAGATTTACTTTGGTTGATGAGTCTATTTCTCCTAGTGTGTCTTCAGCTCCTGAGATTCTTTCTTCCATCTCTTGTATTCTGTTAGTTATGCTTGCATCTGTAGTTCCTTACTATTTACCCAGCTCTTCTATTTCTAGCATTCCCTCAGATTGTGCGTTTTTTATTGTTTCTATTTCAGTTTAAAGGTCTTGAACTGTTTCCATGAGAGATGTGTTGATTTATTGTATTTTTTGTTGTTGTTTTTTTTCTTCCGTTACTTTAAGGGATTTTCTCATATCCTCTTTGAAGTCCCCCATCATTTTCATGAAGATGTTTTTAAGGTCATTTTCTTCTGCTTCATCTGTATTGTGATGTTCAGGTCTTGCTGGTGTAGGGTCCCTATTCTCTGGTGGTGTCATATTGGTTTTTCTATTGTTGAATGTGTTTTTATATTGTATTCTTCCCATCCCGTCTTCTGGTGGGTGTAGAAGGAATCTCTTCCTCTCCTGGTGGGTACCGGACCAAGGTTCCCTTCTGGTAGATACAAACAGATCCAATACTCTGATGTCTCTCCTCTTGTTGTGGATGGAGGCAGGACTGATACAGGGGACTTGGAAGTCTCTCGGTTTGTTGGATCCCTCCGAAAATCCATTTCTTTTATCTTAAAGGTACTATTGACATTCTAACCCTCTCATTCTAAAAGCTCATGTTTGTCAGTGTTATAGGTGCTTATGATTTAATTGTTCACAATTTCTTTTCATATATTAAGGGTGACAAACTGACCTTTATTAACCTAACCATGACAAACAACTGTAGGTTAATTAAATATCTAACAAGATACAACAACTCAGTCAATATGATCAATTCACTGAGAAATCAAATAAGATGACAGTCAAATAGTCATTACTTAATAGATTGTTTGCTACCAAAATTAGTAAATAAAGAAGAATTAGATGTGTCAAGAAGTAAGTTTATTTAAAAAATAATTATATTATTTATACTAGTTTCCTTATACATAAACAAGCAAAATAACAAACACAAAGCAGTCAGGCTACTTTCTAGACCTACTGATGGACAAATTTCTGAACTTCAAATCTGACACATTTTAAAATGACATCTCAGAAAATATCATAAACTGGTACCCAGTCCTTTCTGAAATAGCATCAACTGGGGGAAGATTATATGCCCAGTTGTCTGGAGTCTGTCGGTGATCAGAGACTGAAAATAGCTCCATTATAAATATAGGCATCAACTATGCTACAGAAGAACTTCATCTGACAATCTGAGATTGGCCATTTCCATTGGCTATCAGAATAGACGGGTAATGAAAAGTTCAGAATTACCAGGAGGGTTTCCTCAATGTTGCATCATTAACCCAGCATCCCTTAGAACACAAAACAGGCTTATCAAAGAAAAAAGAAAACGTGAAAGCTAATGGCAACTGGCATGTCCAAAAGTAGTTCAGAGGAGAAGTGGGGCTGTTTCCAGCAAAACTCAAATAAATCAAACTGGATAAGTTTAATACTCCCATGCTTACTTCAGTCACTTAACCCAGCAAGACAGTTACAAAATACATGTATTTTCTAATAAAAATCAGTTAAATATAACTTGGTTTTCAAAATAACTATGAAGATCATTCAGAGAGTATGATTATTCTAACTAATTTACTTGGTCCTGGACACACAAAAAAGAACAGACTTTGGCTCTTTGGATCAAATTCCTATAACACTGTAAAATTCCATCACTAAATATATTGTAATGTGACCAAAATTATGCAAACAAAAATACTGATCAACTTAAATGAAGTAATTATAAAAAAAGGTCCTTACTGCAAAATCTTCCCTCCACTGGTGGGCTGCTTGGACTTTCTCAGCTTCCATAGCCAGGCGCTGAAAAAGAAACAGTAAGTCTTAGACACATATGACTATGAAGACAGGAACAGGGAATTGAAATATAATGCACTATCAATGACATTTGAAATTACAGTTAATTACAGGGCATGAAAAGCAATAGACAACACTTATTTATGATTCATAAGTTCTAAAAGAGTTAGCAATCTAACCTACCAAAGTTGACCCCACAGCAGTAAGTAATCTACTGTTCTTGAAGAACTACCTCCCTTGTTTTCATCAGGAGTGGGTGTTTTCCTTCAATGTTTTATATTTCAGATTTGTAACAGGTTTAATGACACACAGACACGATACTGATCTGATTGGCTTATTCCTGTTCTTAACACCAGCGAATACTTCAGTCAGTAGAAAGAGAATGGTGATGAAATATTAACGATTATATATGGCAACCAAATAGGTGCATTTATAAGAATGTGTTTGGAACTTCGTATTTGCTGGGTGTATGCTTTTGATGTTTGAAAGCTTATTTGAAAGACTGTAAACTGAGAATGCACACATATGTAAATGGCTTTATTTCATCCCCCTGCTGGATGATAAAGTAAGGGAAAATGTAAGGCTGTTTTATTTCCCTTGGGTACTTTTAAATTGAAATATAGGGGCAGAAATAGCACAAAGTTAACAGCAAATGCAACAAATACAAAAGTATTAAATTCACTTATTAAGAGACAAATAACAGGCTATATTTTAGGAGAATATAAGCCACCCAGTAGTTTTGTAGTTTATGTGACAGTTAAGAAATATCCCCTGTGGTTTGCTCTTCCTATGAGTCAAGTCTACATGAACCAATATATAAATAATACCTTTGGCCACTCTTGACAATAACATGTTAGTTTCTGTCCTTTAAGTTTAATACTATATATAATCTGTCCATGTGTCTAAGCTATTACTTAGGTATTACCAATGGATGTGTAACATTATAATATAATAAATATAGGAGAGACTCAGCTCCTTGGTCCTTTGGAATGTGAATGCCCACACACACACACACACACACACACACACACACACACACACACACAGATTAGATACAGATTTTTATAATGTAAAGGACATTTGTTGTGAGGGTATGAATATTTTTAGAAACCTAGCCACAGCAACATAAATATCTAAAACAGACACAGATTTTGAAATTTCAAGTTCAAAAGTTGTTAAATTTTATTTTTCTGTTTGAAATATAAAATTAGGAACTCATAAAAATATACTACTCTTATAACTTTATTCATAAAGAAATAAATGAAACTTTAATCAAGTTTCATAAAAATACCAAATGCTGACTTTTAACATAGTCTAGGTTATAACTAGCACACTCACTGACTGTTCTTGCTAGTGACAAAAGACCCGAAGGTCATTACTTATAGAAATTGACATGCCTTCTAGACATTGCAAGCCTCTAATTAACTTCCATTCCAGTCAAGTGACATTTTAAAAGCCAATAATCCACCACAGAATGCCATAGGGAAATTGCACTAAGACTAATAAAACTCCTATGTAATAAAGTGTGACTATTTTATTGTTAGCCAGTCTCCATCTATACAGCTGGTTAAATGGGTATGTCCTATAACAACAACTTATTTCCAAAGACACAAAACATAACTATGGAATGGATGCACAGGTGATATATAGTGTAGCTTCTTATATATTAACAGTCTTGAAAGTCACTGGAAGGAAACCCTCCTTCATAAGCAGCTTGTGAAAACAGGAACTACAACTACAGAATTCCAAAAGTGGTCAGAGGACAGGGAACCGAGTCTTTTCTCTGGCCTTGAGGGGAGACATGACATTCTAAACTAGCTGGAAGTTCCCAGGCTCCTCCAACCCTTTAATATTTTGATGCCATGTGGTAATCTGTAACATTTATGTGCAAGAACCACCCGATTCAGTTACAAAAAAAAGAGAAATGACTTTTCAAGTCACCTAATTTTTTTAGTAATTTTATGATTTGCAGGATGGACAGAGCTGTTATCTTATCATTACTTTCCAGTCAAGGGCTTTCTAGAAAAGAGACAGGACAGGACATACCCTATGCCTTCCCACTACAATCTATCCAATGGGCTTGATAATCACTTGGACAGGAAATAGTATAAAACAGAACTCTGAGGCTTGCTGTGAAAGAGGCCAGGAAGGGCTATATAGGGAGATCCTGTGTCAAAAAAAAAAAAAAAAAAATCCAACCCAAAACAAAAGAAACCCGGAAACAGTATAAAGCTGCCTAAAATGTAGGCTGGCATGATGACCACTCTGGCCATTACTACCCCTCACCTCTTAAAAGTGTTCCACTATAGTTTACGATATACCTGCCTTCTACACTGTACCCTGAGTGTCTTGTGTGCATTCTTTTGATAGTGATCTCAATGACTGGGACGGTGGGGACACGAACATGAAGGCCAAACTGAACACTAAAAAGCATCTGGCCCATATGAACCACTGAAGGAGGATCCCCACCACTGGTCCTCAGCCTTGCTAAACTCCATCTAGTCCTCTTTAGCTGTGCTTTGCATTATTAAACTCTCCTGAGTTGCCATTGCATTCCGAGAAAAAACAGAACTGATTGACTGGTGAACATCTTTGTGACATGGGTTCAAACGATGTCCAAAGAATGAACATGCAGAACAGACTTGATCCAAATGGAGGCAACGATCCATGACAGGAAGTCTAGGCCACTTACTAGAGCAGCAGTGGCATTTTCTTAAGAGTCAGCTTGCTCTCTTCAAACAAGGATAGTTTCCTTCCTCAGGATGACCTGGCAGAAGCAGAAGGGAGGCAGGCAATGGAGAGCTAGACATCTATTTGCCTAGGACTTCTTAGCTCCAAAGATGTCCTTGCCCTTTGCCCCAGTTCTTTTTTGGCTTAAACCAAATGTGCATGTCAGAACCTGAAAAATGAAGGTGTGGTCACTGAACCCCCTTATCTGCTTTCTTCCCCATGAGGCCACATTGAATAAATTGATCTTCTCTATGTCCTTTCCCATCAATCATCATCATCTTTAATTGGCATGCTGAAGATGGGTTACTGAGCCTCCACTACCTGAGTATGTTATTTGGCTCTAATGATTCCAATTCTAATACCTATAAAGAAATGTGAAGCTTAATTCTGCTTATATTATAACAAAGAAGAGAGGGTCAATTAAATGGCTTTATTTTAAATGTATATGTGAAAATCATGTATATAAAACATGATAGATGTATTTAAAAATCCATATATCCCTGTGTCCATTAGATTGCACCCAAGGCTATATAGAGAGACTCCGGATCAAGCAAAACAAAACAGAAGGTACTGCTCTGAATGTATAAATATAGCTTACTTCCATACAAAATAATAATAATAATAATAATAATAATAATAATAATAATAATAATAAAATATAAAACCTTAAAAACAATTTTTACAGACTCAGTTTTAAGACAGCTGACTGGCCCCTGAACCTTCTGCTTCTGAGAATCAAGCTCATTGTACAATGACAGTTTTTAGTTTTGAAAGTTCATTAGACATCCATGGTGTCTATGGAGATATTGTAGGATCAACACAAAAACAATGACAAAAATGGAGGATTTCAGGCTAAATGAAAACCAAACTAGCAATACAAAATCATAAAATAAGTTTAGGTGCTGTCTTTACACAGTCATTCCTTCAAATGCAGATGGATAATCCCCATCAGTAAGGAAGCTTTTGATACACCCTCCTCTGCAGGGACAAGAACAGAATCAAACCAAACAGACAGGAAACAGCTTATCAGATGAGAGAAAGGGCAGCTCTCTGAGAGGCCTATTCATCCTCAGCCTTCACACTGTGTCCTATCTGCATCTCTTCCATGGCATTGAATTCTGACATATGACGCGAAAGTCAAATAAAAAAGTAGAGCAATATTGAAAAGGGTCAGTCTATCATTCTCATCAATGATATTCAAATGTACCTTCTCTTAGGAACATAACATTTCCCAAACTTCTAAGTATTCTGCTTCCTAGGCTATAAATTAATTTTAGGTTCTTTTTTTTTATTTTTTAACCTTTGAGAATGACCAAACAATCATAGGGATTTTTAAAAGAACATTGAAAGCAAAATACATGGCACAACAGGGCTATTCACTTAAGATTCCAAGGCCACTGACATTCAGATTCAAATAGGAAGTACTGAGCAAAAGAGGCCATTCAAACCAATCCTCAAACCATGTCTGTGGACACCATAGATCAGGAGTCTTCCTTCTAGTAAGGGTCAATGAATATAAACAGCAGACTAATTCAAGCAAAATATGCATTTCAGGTGATTGTGATTAATGTTCCAACAGCTAATACCCAATAAGGAATGGCAACTGCTGTACCAAACAAACTCGTATTGACAATTCCATTACCGCTCTAATGAGTTTTACTAATTTTCATTAAAAGGCTTTTAGAGGATCAGTCTACACTTTCTAATGGTCCAACAATACCCTTTGAAAATAGCAAATAAAGGTGAATGAATGAACACTCTTCCACATTCTGAAGAAAAGTACACAGGTATTTCATTTGCTTTTGAGGGAGGAAGAGGCTTCTGACTGCTGTGCAATTTTGTGAATTTTAACTGTCTTCAGCATAACAGATATTTAGGTATTTTATGTATATTTCTATTTATGTATGTGTATATACACATATGTGTGTAGAAATCTATAGAATTTTGTTTCCATTTCAACCTCATCGGCACAATTCTATAAAATAGATGATGTTAGTACTACAATCACTGAAGGCCAGTTAAACATGTAAATACGAATAAAATGAAGAAAAAGTCCTCAGTGGTTCCTACATTCCCTGTTTCTTCCTGCAAGGCTCACATCTATAGAAACATGTTAAAACCGATTTTTAGAAGCTATTTGAGCTTAAAAAGTACTGAGTTCTTCCTTGAGTAATTAAAAGACAGTGGAAGCCTGGCATCTCTGCCTGCACACAGATATGTCATTGTCATCATGCTACAGCCACGTTAGATTTCAGGAAAAACAAAACCTCTGGGGC